GCAAACAGCGACAGCTGTTCTTCGGCGCTTCTGTTTGGACTAGCTCCAACTTCATGCATGAAAGTGGCGACTGATATTATCCGATACATTGCAACCGCTCCCTTCTTGACGGTCGAAAGTTTGTCGTCGGCAGTTTTTTTTTTCTCCTGAACCCTCCAAACCATAAAAACCACCATCAACTATATTTTAATTCCTTTTCCACAGGCGTTTTTTCACTGCTGGTCGGATTTGTGTTTACCGCCTCCCTTGACAATGCCTGTAAACTGGCTTAAAATAAAATTAATTTAAAATTAGAAATTATTGGTGTTCTATGATACGTGAGCTCCTAAATCAATGGGACGTAAAGTTTAAATCCTCATGTACTCCAATACCAAAAACTAAAACTGATTCTAAATTTACTATCGGTGAACCAGAACTCTCAGCCATCTTACGTTTGTAGAATTTGATCGAGACATCTGAACATTTACTTAAGATTACCGACTCTTCATCAGTCTCAAACACATCTAAAAACAGCTTAAGATACGTACCACAAATACAATCGATCGTGCACTTGGTAAAAGCGAAAGTAGCTGGTGGATCAAATAGCGGATTTAATATCATTACACACCATATACCTCACCGGATTAACCCTACAGAGGCAATCTAAAAACTTATTCAATCATGAGATCATAACATTTTTAAAATTTCAGTTCACTTTGAGAAAAAAAGGCACGAGTTTCTAAGCACTCTATCTGAGACGCAAAATTGGGTGCGATGTACAAAGAAAACAATGAGTTAATATTATTCAAATGGACCTATAACAGTATGACAGATATGACTAGAGGCTGAGGGGATGCGCGCGACCTCTCATCGCTATTGTTCATTTCAGAACATAAATATTTTACGGTTTCTTTTAAGGCTTTCATTTGGCGGTGACATCACAACATCTGCGAGGATGGCATTCCATGGTTTAACCACTTTGTCAGAGAAGAAGGACTCCCGCACATCCAACTAATTAGTCATTGAAGGTTATCTCCGCAAATGCGCAAAGCCTCTTCAACAAACTAGACGAACTAAGAGACTTAGTTGATGGAATTAAGCCAGACCTTATGGCATTCACATAAACGTGGCTTACTAAAGACATCGCAGATTCAGAAATACAACTTAGAGGATAAAAGCAATTCTGGAGAGACAGACTAAGTCGAGGAGCAGGAGTCGTAATTTATGTCACTTGCAAGCTGAGCGCTGTGGCTGATGTACATAGACTGGTACGGAATGTGGAAGTGCTAAGCGTTAAAATCTCTATTAAGAATGTCCGATCACTGACGCTTTCTGTGGTGTACCGTTCACCTAACTATACTTCTGACCAAGATCTCATGCTCGTAGCTGAACTTAACAAAGTCAGTGGGAAGAAAGATGTCCTTATCGTTGGGGATTTAAACGCTCCTGGCATTGATGGGCTAACGTGGACTGCACAAGGGTCGCAAGACAGCTTTAATCACAAACTACTACAATGGGCAACGGACAAACGTCTCTGCCAGAATGTTACATTTGGAACATGGGTCAGGGAAGGACAGCAGTCGAACTGCCTTGATCTTGTTTTTACCTGAGAGGAGGAAAATGTGTTAGACCTGCAGGACCATCCGCCATTAGGGTCAAACGACCACATCACGCTCTACTTCGAGTACTCACTGTTTTCCAAACCCGTCCAACCCGAGAAGTGGGAGGGAAACATTTGGAAAGGGGACTATTCTCTCATGAGGAGGGAAGCGGCAGCTATATCATGGGAGACTGAACTGCATGGTCGAGCAAACGACAACTGGAATACTTTCAGTTCCTTACTGAAAGAGATTGTTTATTCCAATTGTCCTCTCAGAAGAAAGAAAATCACAAACCGCCCAAAATGGATAAACCCGGACTTGAAGGCCTCTTTCAGAAAAAGGAATGGTCTGTAAAGGTGTTACAGACTAACTGGCTCCGAAGAACACTTACAGAAATATAAGCGGCAACGAGACGTTTGTAAAAGTGAGGCTTCAAAGCTGCGAAATAAGTTTGAACTGAACATACTTCGAACTTCGTTGGAGCATCCCAAAATAGTATATGGTTATGCACGAAGTACTTAAAAGACTCAGGAGCTGATCCCTGCCTGTAGGTCTGCATATGGAAAAGTGGAGACTGATGACCAGGTTAAAGCGTCCCTCCTTTCCCAATTCCTTGTGTCCATGTTCACCCGAGAACCTAGTTCTATATTTGTTCATCCATCCGTTCGTCAACCAACCTCTTCTCCAAGTACCCTTCCTCTCCGACCCCCTCTTTACCCTCCTTAATCGAGGAACCACTTTTTCCATCGACCATAGTCAGGGCTGAGTTACTCCGGCTGAAACCTGCCGGAAGAATGGAAGTGCGCACTCATTACTCCGATCCATAAAGGAGACTCAAGACTTGACTGCGGAAATTATCGTCCCGTCAGTCTTACTTGCATCGCGTGTAAAATAATGGAACGCATTATCAAAAGACACTTGATGAGATACCTGGAGCAGAACAAAATATTGTGTGATGCCCAACTTGGCTTTCGACCAGGACGCTTCTGTCTAACGAGTGTTCTTTACTCGCACGAGAAATGGGCAGGAGCTGCCAATAAGGGTTTTCAAGTGGATGTCTTTTTTTGCCTTCAATAAGGCATTTGACAGTGTCCAACACAGGCTTCTGGGTTGAAGGTATTCAAAGAAGAATGTTTAAATTGATCAGGAGTTTGCTGTCCTCCAGAGTGCAAACAATCGTCGTTGGTGACTCTGCTTCTGAAAGGGCAAAGGTGGGAAGTGGTGTCCAAAAGGGTTTTGTCTTAGGCCCAGTATTCTTGACAATGAT